GAATTACAAAGTTATTTTAAACAATTTAAAAAATAATTTCAAGTTAATAATATTATGTTAAAAATTAAACTATTACGTTAAATTATCAAGCACTTTTACAGCAATAGTTCGAACATTGTTATCAGGGAATTTATAATCAAGAAGATCTAATGCCACATCAACTTCTAATGGATCAATTTTCCATGTTGTGAGCAGTAAATGAATCTACAATAAAACATTTCTATTATACACTTTATATATTCACATATATTACATACACATTAAGTCAATGCATTACTAACACCCAAGTCAATGTATATACTCTTCGTTGTACGTAAGTACCTCTAGTCAAGGACTGCCAACATTTAACTGCTGTTTAAGATGAATCAAGTTGAACAACATTGTTTTTATTGCACCTATTTTATTAGGTTATTCTTATTTTCTCATATGCATTCTAGATTTTTATAAATTTAGTTCCTAACTTAAGTAGACAGCAACATTTTTTAACCAGAACTCTGCCATACAGTCAACTCGGTGACAGCCCTATATAAAAAAATTTTTTATACCTTTTATGGCCTTAAAATTTACCAGCAATGAATCAAATTTAAAATACCAGGATAATCAACATGCAGAAAACTTCACAACATAAAAAAAACTTTTGTTTTTGTTTCACAACTTAAACAAACTGGTCATTAGTTAATGTATGGGTATATGAACCAAATTAAATGCTTAAATTTAAAACTGATACACTAAAAACTGTTAAAGAGTTTGTTAAACCAAATTGTGCATCTATGGAATATTTGATTTAAACAATATAAAAAATTTACAAATATTTTCACATAAAACCATTGTTTTATGTTTTATAAGTTATTGGTTCAAACATTTCACACCACTGTAAATGTTCTGCTGGAACAAATGCAGAAAAACCAATAGTCAAAAATATTTTATCTAGTCAAGACACTGAAGTATATTTCTTAATCAACACACCCGATTGTAACGTTGTAGTGAATTGTTAAATTACACTCAATTGTTGAATTGCACTTAATTGTTACAAGATTCCCACTATTAAAACTGAGCTAAAAGTAAGGATTTTAAGGAGATTTCAGGAGATATTTTCCTTATATTTAAAGAGATTTGGTCGCAAACGACAATTTTTTGAAAGAAAAAGTAAGAAGAATTAAGGAGAAAACAAATGCATTAAAAACAGAACCTTATTTTTTTAAATAAATTTTAAATATAAACAGAAAAATTATTATAAATTAATACATTACTTGATGTATATATAAATATAAATATATATATATATATATATATATATATATATATATATATATATATATATATATATATATATATATATATATATATATATATATATATATATATAAATATATATATATATACATATATATAAATATATATATATATATATATACATATATATAAATATATATATATATATATATAATTATATATATATATAAATATATATATATATAAACATATATATATATATATATATATATAAATATATATATATATATATTTATATACAACCTTCGGAATTAGGGTCGGCATTCGGCAATGCTGACCTAACTGCCGACCTTAAAGTGTTTGAGGTCAGCAAAAAATTGCTGACCTTATTTTTATGTTTTATGGTTAGACCTTTGTATCAAATAATTTTTGCCGACCTGATACTGACCTTAAAAAGATTGAGGTAGGCAAATTATTGCCAACCTCATTTTTCCTAATTCCGAGGTGTATATATATATATATATATATATATATATATATATATATATATATATATATATATATATATATATATATATATATATATATATATATATATATATATATATATATATATATATATATATAAAATAAAAGTATAGGTTTGCAAACTATTGAAGAATTATATATTTGCTTCTTTATTAAAAAGTATAATCCATTTATTTTAATAAAATTTCTTAAATGATTAAAAAACAAAAATAAGGAGAAATTAAGGAGAGCAGTCAAAATACAACTTTTTTTAAGGTTATTTAAGGACTTTTAAGGAGTTTTTTATTTTTTAAGGATATTTAAGGCTTTTAAGGAGAAGCAGGAACCCTGTGTTAAATTACACTAACTTGTTGTATTGCACTAACTTGTTGAATTGCACTTAATTTTCAAATGGACTTAATTGTTGAATTGTACTCAATTATTGAATTGCACTCAATTATTAAACTGTAGTTAATTGAAAATGTTCTTCTAACCTTCAAATTGGACAACCTTTTAGGCTTTAAATTGGACAACAATAGATAACAATAGATAACAGTTTTATAACAATACTAAATAACAGCTTGAAAAATAAGACAAATTATAGAAGCTTAAAATTATTTACTTGATTTTAATTTAACAAAATAATGTTGTGTAATCAATAATAAAAAAAGTAATAAAACAGGATGTGATAAACACATTTAGTATCTAGTAATAAAACAGGTTGTAATTTAGTATATAGTAGGGGGGTCCATAATCGTCTTTTTTTAGATTTTTTATAGTTTAACCAATTTTTCTTAATTAGTTTTTCATGCTGATTCTGAAAATCATAATCATTTTTTTTTCATTTTAATTAATTAGCCTTCTACTTCGTTTTTAATAAAAGTTAATATAGAGACAAATAAAGGCATTGTTAAAAATAGATGAAATTATTATTATCATTAAATATAAGAAAAGTAGAAAACTAGAAATCTTTTTCTGTTTAATTTATCAATAATATACTTTATCATTTATAAGTAACAAAAAAAATTAAGTATTATATATGAAAATAATTCATACAGTTTGTTATTTATTATTGAAAATGGAAAATAACTATAAAAGTCATCATATGTGATAGGTATTGCTGCGGGAACTTTAATTATAGAACATCTAGGTTATGAGCGTGTTCTTTGGTAGACATAAGATGGAGGTTTGTATTTTTATATCAACAACCATGTATTTAAACATAATAGACCTCGAAAATGACTGACATTGTATCCCTAAAATAAAGACCCTCATTTTTCGAACTTTTTTTTCATTTTAACATATCTGTATCTTCTTCAATAATGTCTAGTTCACAGCTAAATGGGCTGCCTTGTAACTTTAATCAAGCTAAAATAGAACTCATCTTGCACACTTGATGTAAAGTTTGCTGCTCTTCCATTAATATCCATTTGTTTTTATAGCTGGTTTCAACTATATTCTATAGTTTCAACTTTTTGGACAAATAACTGGACAATAATTCTCCATAATATTTTTAAACTATGTGAACCTTCATTTTTTATATGGTTTAAATAAATAAATATACATCTACTGTTGAAATTAAATGGGTTTTTTCCAAAGCTTTCCAACTGTAACAACTTAATTAGAAAGTTAATACTAATGATATTCCATCATCAACCAAACACAATACTTTTCTCCTTTTTGTACTCCTGATGCTAACTTTTGTCAAAATATTCTAACAAGAATGATCATTCAATCATTCAATCTCTTTGATCAAAAAAATTTTGGACCCATCCCCCCTATATCTAGTTTATATGATTACTTTTTTATAACTTACTTTTATAATTTACTTTGATTGAAAGAAAGTAAGCATATTCCGTTGAGGGTTTTGAATGTTCATAAAAGAGGGTTTTGAATGTTCATAAAAGAAAAATATTTGATTTATACTTTTGTTTTCTATTTTAGTTTAGGTAAAGATAAAAATATGAAAAAATTAAAAAAAATTAAAATCACCTGGGCAACGCTATCTCGATTGTTCCATTTGACACACTGCAATAGTTTTGGAAGACATTGAGGATATTCAAGAGAACATTCTACTCTAAATTTTTAAAAAATTCAAATAACATCAATATTTTTCCATGAAGTTATAACTTGAAGTTATTATTTTTTTTTTTAAAATGACAATTTATTTTTTTACAAATTTAATTTTTTGCTATTATGACTGCAAGCAACAACTGAATGGAGACTATAAGAATTTTAGGCTTAAATTCTTAACATCATTAGTATCCTAAATCTTAATATCAAATTTTCTGAAAATTTTTTTTTGGAAACATTCATGACAAAGTGGTTATTGTAATCAATTATTTAAAGAAATAATAATTCCTCAGGGAAACATAGCAAGAGAAACATAGGAATGTACATTGCCCAGTGCAATGTGCACTGGGTAATGTGCTACAAAATAAAAAAAATTTGCACTACAAAATGCAACATAGCACTTGTTACTACAGTTCTTTAGTTTGTTGAGATATATCTTACTGCATCAAATAAAGAATTTTTGAATTTTTTCTTATCATTTTGAATTAAGTAAGAAACAAAGAAATCTATTAGTTTTTCAAGCGAAATAGACTACTACAAGATCATATGCTGCAAATTTTAGTGCCAAATGTTTTTATACAACTAAAACAGGGGACAGACACATCATAAATAATTATCAAAAGATTGTCGATCAACAACAATTGCCCTGCTAAAATAAAAATTGTATAGTAGACAATCAAATTATATTTCAGATGATTAAATTTTCAGTAAATTTTTACTAAATTTTTATGAGTAACATTTTATGGTTTTTTTTTGTTTTTTAAACTTTGTGTTTGTATAACAAAATGTAACAGCTAATATTACTGTAAAGCAAAACAACGCTTTAAACTCTTTTTTATCAATATTAAAGAGTTTATCATTAAAACTATACAAAAACTATAAATTTTTTTTTTCTTTCTATAATTTTTTTTACTTGAAATGTATTTTTATTTTTTTTACTTGAAATGTATTTTTTTTTACTTGAAATGTATTTTTTTTTACTTGAAATGTATTTTTATTTTTCATCCTACCTTGTATAATGAAACGTTCTCTTAGCCAATACCATGCTAACCTTTTTTTTTTTTTTTTACAAAAAATTAATTTTTTTTTTTTTTGTCATTTTTATTTTATTACATTTGGTAGTTACTATGCTTGCTTTTATCTCTTTTTTTCCAAATCAATCTATTATAAAAATAAACCAAATTGCTTATTAACATTTTTATCATTAAAATTACTCTTTTTTTTTTTTCTTTTTGCAGCTTCAGCATATTTTTTGTACCAAAAAAAATAATCGCTTTCTATCATTAAACTACAAATTACAAATAAAAATTGCTTAATCATTTATTTCCATTTGTTAATATTATTATTTTCTAATTCTTTAATGATTTATAATTTTAATTCATTTATTTTATTAATTTATTTAAGTGTTTCTTTTTTTAAACTTTTTTTTAAAATTCTTAAATTTTTTTCTTAAATTGTGATTGTTTGAAAACAGTTTTCCCCATTAAAAAGATCCCTGTTGCTGACACAACTTGTGTTCATATTTTAAATAAACCTATAAAATATGTTTAGAGTTACTTGAAACAAAACAAGTTATGGAGATATTAAAAAAAAAAAAGTTTAGCATTTTTAATGGTGCATTGTTTTTTATAAAGTTGACTTACTGACTTTCTTTTTAAAAAAATTGGCCTGTTAATCGTTGATATATGAAAAATCTGGTCGTTGACATAATCATTGTAAAAATTAAATTTTAATTTTTTGCTTTTTAAAATTTTCAATTCATTATCTGATAAGTGAAAAAAAAAAATCTTTTTAAAAGAACTTTTTAAACTATAACTTTTTAGAATAAAAAAAAAATTAAAAATTACAAACAAATAAAATTGAACTTTTAAATAATGTTATTGTTAGTATAATTTTTTAAGTATAAAAAATTTTGAGATCATACAATCTTTAATAATTCAAAAAAAAACTTTTAAAGAAAATTTTAATAACAATGATTTTAATAGATGAAAATAAAAGATATTCGTTTTTGTTCAATAAAGCCTAAAAAGTTTTATTTACATTTGTTTTATTTTAAAAACAAAACAAATAAAAAATAATATAATATATTAATATTTTATATTATATACTATAGAAACCTCATATAAGGAAGATAGTAATCTTAAAATCGTCAAGATGTTTGTTAAAATCTAGTTGCTGTAATTGAATCCAAAGATCAAAAACAATATTTTGGAATTTAGTGAAAAATGATACAAATCAATTTGATATGCTGATTTTCAGTGAAAATAAAATAGGGTGTATGTATCTTTTTAACAAAAGTAGTTTTTTAAGAAAAGTTTAAATGCTTGATTATTTTGTCATTTTATCAAGCCTTCAATGATGTTACAGAAATATTTTTATAAACTGAAAAATTTTTTATTATTTCCACAAAAGACAAATTAAGAAAAAAAGAAAATACAAGCTTATGCATAAATTAAATTATTTAAAAAAAACCTTTACGATGAATACGCACATTCAACAATCAAATCAGATATAAAAATAACTATGCAGAAATGCACAGTATTAGGCTTGGATACAAGATGGCCGAGAAACAAGATGGCAGAGAAACAAAATGCCCAAGATACAAAATGGCCAAGAAATAAAACAGATGCAATATTTTTGTTAATATCTGGATAAATAATTGGTTTTGCCAAGTATAACTCAAAATATTTTTTCTAATGTTTATTTATGAAACCAACAAAATTTGTCTCAGCACCCTTTAATAATGAACTTGAGATATTTCTTATTTTTTAAATTGTCAATGAAATGCTAATCTCTAACATACTTAATAAAACAATAAAAATAAAATAATACTTGTGTAAAAAAATACAAAGCTTTATAGTTAATTCTTAGATTTTCTTGAAACAATTTTTTTTTTGCTCTTGCAACATAACTTGCTTATTCAAAATAAAAACTATATTTTTATTTTGAACAAATCAAAATGATTGTTTGCTTTAAAAACTATGAATCAAAAACACTCAGCATTTTTTTTGACTCTAACTTTTTGAAAAATGTATTTCTAATTATTGCTATGAAAATTCTTGATGATCAAACAAGATCTGCCAGAATTAACTTTGGGAAATCTAAAACTCCTTTTTTTTCAAAAGTAATTGATTATTGAAATGGTAATTGATCATTGATTGGCTATTATTTCAAGCACTGTAGACAGGTGATAAACTCTAAGATTAAAGTTACAGAATATATTAGTGCAGACCTGCAGATCAGTTTATGCAATCAACTGTTTTGTCACGATTTTTTCTCAACTAATCAGCAGCAACAAATGAATAATGATAAACACATTTTTCCTCCTAAATTATCTTTAGTAATTTAAACAAAATAAAACTTAAAAAACTAATGAAATTTATTTTAAGCAAACTTTTGATTGTGGTTTGCCATTATCCAAAAAACTAAAGACTATAGATGGTCATTCCTACATCAGCTGACAAATACGGACAGAAATAAGCATATTCACAATAAATAACACATAAAATGTACATACATCAACTGACACAATGTGAAAAATAAATAAAGTATTCTAAAAAAATAAATTTGAAAAACTAGCATCATATTTTTGAGGCAAAAAACTTGCCATTTAAAATATTGTCCACCTTTTTTTTTTTTTTTTTGTTTTGGGGGGGGGGGGGTATGGTAAACTTTGTTAATGGTATGAAAAAACAAAACGAAAACGCAAAATCCTCTGTTTTTTTCCATTTTTACTAATGTCTATTTGTTTTCTAATCACTGTGCCAATTTATCCCATGAACTCCCAATGAGGTGCCATGTATTTGATTTTTTTAATGTTGATTCTTGAATTTAAATACCATATAGGTCGAGATACAACTAGGCAGTTATAGGGTTATTTATAAATAAGAGTTATGCTTTTGCAACTCTTGATTCATCTATACTTTTGTTATCTGGAATGTTATTCAATATGGTAATCACTATCATAAAGTTTGGTCAACTAGTATAATGGTATTAATACTGTGAGTGGTTTGATTAATTGCAAGATAACATGCAGCACAGATACATAATCAACATACATGTTGATGATGCATCTGTGATGCATGCAATCTTGCAAACATTTATCTGTGATGCATGATATCAATAAGTGAAATTTATTGACCATTAATTATTTAAATAAGGTGTATATTGTTTTGTGGTTAAGTCACCAGGAAATCACCTTTATGTGTTTTAACCAGAAAACAGTTCCTTTTTTATTTTTATTTTATATACTTTTATTTCATTTCTGTCCTGTTTTTGCTATGTCCAAATTCTTTATCTTGAAGTTTAATGACAATTTTCTAGTTCAAATTAATGGCATAACACTTTCTTTTAGGTCTTTATCTGATTGTTTTTTCTGCTATCAAAATCATTGATTTTCTATTAATGAAAAATCCAGTAAAAAGGGGTTTCTATATGGACTATGCAATATACAGAATATTTATATAAAAATATTTAGAAAAACTTTTTCTTTGACATTTTCTTTTCTCAAAGATTAAAAAAGTAATATCCTGGCAGTATCCAATACATCTTTATTTGCACAAAATGTTTATAAAATATTGATTAAACAACAGCAACAACAAAAATTAAAAACAAAAAATGAAATACCTTAGTAACCACATTAGTTCTTTTTCTTTTTCAAACATTGGTAATAAGGTATCTCTTTGTATGACCTCTTCAATTTGTTGTCTATGCAGCTTACCTCCTTTTCTCAAATAAGGATGCGGTTGATCGCCATTTACTTGTTCAGCTTTTATTTTATCTGCAGCATATTGAATTATCTTTTCCTCTGAGGGGTAAACAACAGGGTGAGCAAACTCAGTTAACTTAATAATAAGACAAGCTCCGTTTTCATCACCACTTGAAGCTACTGTTCCAAGAGGATTTAAAAAATTTTGATTTTCATTCTTTCGTCCAATTGAATATTGCCAACAGTATAGAGCACAAGTGCCAGTTTTTAAATATGCTTTATAATTAAAAATAGGCATGTTGACCCAACCAATGCATACAGGCTAATTAAAATATAAGTTTAAAAATTACATAATATTTTACTTTATATATACATACATATATATATATAAAGTTATACATGTACTCGCTTATATATATATATATATATATATATATATGTATATATATATATGTATATATATATATATATATATATATATATATGTATATATATAATATATATATACATATATATATATATATATATATATATATATATATATTATATATATATATATATATATATATATATATATATATATATATATATATATATATATATATATATATATATATATATATATATATATATATATATATATATATATAAATAGTTCAACCTTGCGCTTTTTGCGATCATTCTGTTGATAGCCAACAATACTAAAACATAACCGTGCCATTCTTGGAATGTCAGCAACAGGGAGATCAAATTCAAGAAATTCATTCCAGTGTGGAGTTGTAGATTGTTGCAATTTATTAGTTGATTGTACCTTACAAACTTCTTCCCCACCATGAAATATACCACAATGTATTTCTTTCTATAATTGAATAAATTGTAAATTTTAATTTAACTTACTTTTCTAAAATACTTTTATTTTATTAAAACTTAAATCTCATCAACTTACCCACATTTGTGCATTATGAATTCCTTTGGCTGCAAATATGTTAACTTTAAATAATGTTTTTGGACTAATATCCCATAAACAAATTTCATTTTTTTTTCGTTTTTCTGGAGTTGGTGGTGGATTATCTAATATAGGAGCTGCACATTCTTTTTCAATATCAAGATCTGCTTTAGGTATAAGAACCAACCTGATAGGTTTGTCCCACTGCAAACAATCTCTAACATACTTAATAAAACAATAAAAATAAAATAATACTTGTGTAAAAAAATACAAAGCTTTATAGTCAATTCTTAGATTTTCTTGAAACAATTTTTTTTTTGCTCTTGCAACATAACTTGCTTATTTAGCAAGTATGTTCTTACAAATTATATTAAAAATTTTGAAAAGAAAAAAGAAAAAAACAGTCTAATCCTTAAAATTAACTAAATAAATTAAAAAATAAATATTAACTTATGGCTGCAACATAAGTCACAGCTATTTTATGAAATGTAAAATTAAACATATCATGAGTTCATCAAAAAACTATTTTTGCATAAAAAGTATATAAATAAAAGATAATAAAAACTAACTTTAAAATTTAAAATATTATGTATTATAATTAGTTTTATTTTTTATTTCATTTTTTATTATTCTTTTTTAACATTGATTAAACATAGTGTGATCTTATTTATTCATTATCTCTCGTGTCATCTCATCCACTCTTTCTTTTTTTCTGTTATTAATCTTGCTATTTTAAATATTATTGTTCACTTTTATTGTTTTTGTTTGTTTGTTTGTTAAAAAACAAAAAACTAAAAAAATTAACATAATGTAATAATAAAGCTATCTTTATTATTTCATTTTTTATGTTTGTTATTTATTTTTTTATTTTAATAAGGTGTAGTTTTTAACTATTTGAATGATACCGCCTTGACTGTAAAATTAAAAATAAATTTGTAATCTTTTTAATTTTATGCTTAAACAAATGAATTAAAAATAAAAGGTTATAGTAAAGATTTTGGTGTCACTTAACAAATGTACACCTTTTTTTTTTTAAGTAATTTTTTTTTTTATACATTTATAACCATACACTATTATTATACACTAACCATAACAATTAAAATAGTATATATATTTTTTTTTGTCAAGATTACATCAAAGGTTTTGTTAAGATTAAAAATTAAAAGTTTTAAAATTTTTCAATAAAATCTCTTAATTCTTTGTCTTCTTTGATTGACTGAAAAATTTTGTAAAGAAATAAATTGTAAATTGTAAAAAAATATGAAATGTAAAAAAAAGTTAAAACAGGTATTTTATATTGTACTTTCTATTTTTTTATACTATATTTTCTATACTTAAGTTTCTCAACTTGTTACTCTGCGCAATGTTTCATTTTTTAAAGTTGTAATTTTTACATAACTTAGTTTATCCCCTGAGTCTCAGTGGTACAAAAAGATATATATATATATATACAAAATTTCAGTATGATTGGACAATATTTAGTTTGCACACACTAGTCACAGTCACTTCTATTTCAAGTTAATAAAATTTCTAACTTTAAAGTTCTTTGTATTAATGTATGTTTTTTTTCTATTACAGTAGAATCCCATTAACTTGGACTTTGAAGGGTTATATATATTTTATCCTACTTAGGACAAAATATATATAACCCTTCCGAATTAAGCGAAGCTCTTCCGCTTTTGTCCCAAATAAGCAAAGCTCTTGTTATGTCGGACTTTCTGAAAATGTCCAACTTATTGAGATTTCTTGACTTTTCAAAACTGATGCAGGAATGTTTTGGTGTCAGGAGAAAAAAAATGATGCAGAAATGTTTTGGTGTCAGGTGTTTAAAAGCCACATATAACATGTTTTATCTAAATTCTCATTTACGAAGATGTGTATCCTTACTCTTTTCTCAGAAGCTTTACTTTTTTTTGACTTCTGAATATATTGTGTTTTATTCTTTTGACCATCCAGAAAATGTTTGCTTCAAAAAATTCATTTGCTCAGAATGCTGTCAAATAGTAAACTCTGGTATTTTTCACCAACAAAAATACAACTGTTCAAAATCTTCATGCCTTAATTACTTCAAAGAATCCAAATGTTTTCTAACATTTTCTATGCATTAAAAGAAAAATCTGTTGTTTGTGACAGAAATAACACAAGGCTTGATGCAAAAACATCATGAATTTGAAGATAAATTATAATCTTCCATATTGTGCAGTGTTAGGCATTATGAAGGAGATAAGAAAAAATGTTGGAAGACCCAGAATTCAAAAGAATACCTATGCTAATGTTATAAACACACTACTTGGATAAGTTTTACTATATCAAAAAATTTCAATTAAAAAAAGACAGAAAATTTTTTTTTTTTAAAAAAAAGATCCTGTTTATTGTAATGACATACCTATGCAAGTAACAGAAATGTGTTCCTTCAGTAGACTTTTTTAAGGATTTTTTCAGGAAAAAATTCAGGAAAAAGATCCTGCTCAGTGTTACATCAAAACATACATCCAAAGCAGTGCATAAAAACCTGAACAAGACATTATTGAAAAGGTTTGTTGTGTCTTAAAAAAATGTCCATCGTGGTGAGAAATTAAAAGCTATTACTGTTAAATACAATTCAGTGAGACTGTAAAAAGATTTTCAAGGATATTTTTCTATTAAAAAAAATACAAAATCTTTTTTATAACAAAATATGTTCAAAATACTGTTTGTGGCATTTTATTTGTCTGAATTTTAATTTAAAACTTATGCATGTTTTGTTTATGCTGATAGAGACAAAGAAATTTCTGGACATACAAATAAATTTTCGTTGAGGGGAAAATATCAGTCAGTTTATCCATGACTTTCCTTGTTTTTTGACGAAACTTAAAAAACATGACCCAATTGTCTTTTTCACATCCTTTTGGAAACCAATGTTTGCATTTTTCCATCAAAAGAAACTACTAAATTTGATTGTTTTAAGATAATATTGCATCATGAAAATATAGAATCTCCTTAAAATATTGTTACAGTTATACAAAATAAAGACTTTTATACATAAAAAGTCAATTATAACAGTTCTCTATAAATTCATTTTAAAAAAGGATGTAAAATGATTGACAATAACTTTTCATATTAAGATAAGTTGCTTGTTTCTCTTGCAGTTGCACAAATACTACAAACAAAAACACTTCTAAATAAATTTTATAATTCTTTTAAGACATCTATCTGTATCTATATGTATTTCATCCAAATATACTTTATAATTCTTTCAAGACATCTATCAAGACACTCTGCCTCTTTGTTAGTTACTTTAAATTACTCTCTTGCTTGAAAAAACACAAACTTTCATAAAAATCATTTTTTCAATGACATTTCAAAATTACTAAACAAAAAGGTTTTTGAAAAAAAAAAATTATAACCATAACTAAATTTTACAGTGTCTACAAATAACATAATCAAACATTTTTTGTTATTCTTTGGCTATTAAAAGATTTTTCATTTTAATAACTTTTTTGCAGTACTCGCCCACAAATTTTGAAGTTCGAAAAACTGCTTAAGTTTGCCTTCAATAAGAATTCATCATGTGTAATTCACATTGGATTGCTCGAGAAGTTTTAGAAATGCAATAATTAAATGAATATTAAAAAAATCTTAAATAAAAGTGAATAAATTTTTTTTTTGAACTATAGTATAAAAGGAAACAAAGTTAATAAGTCTTTTAATTGTGTAAAGTAAAAAGATAAATTTTTTTTACATTGATCAACTGCATGATAATCAACATAAGATTTTTACACACCTTAAATTTAAAATTGAAATCCAGTTTTAAGTAAAAAGACATAAAAAACAGGCTTTCATAAAATTGTTTCCATGAAATTACATTAGTACAAAAAAAAATACTTTTGGTGGCCAGTACTTAATAAAAGTGATGTTTACACTTATTAAAAATGTGCTATGTTTAAATAAACTTATACACTACAATTTCCTCTCCACCTTCTATAGAAGATCTTCTATAAAAGAATTTAGTATAGTACTTCGATACAGGACCAAAACTATAAAAACCCTACTGATACCAATATACTTCTCTGTTAAATAGTAAGTATGAATTCTTGTCTACAATTTTTTGTTAACACCATACTAAACATTTTGTTTGTACCAGTTATTCAGCTCTATCAAACAAAATCAATATAATTGTCTAAATGGGATAAGATTATGCTCAAAATGGATTCCTCTACTAGGTAGCTTAACATTTTAACAAAATACTTATAAATTTGAAAATAATTAGCAACTCAAAAGAATTCAAGAAAACTAATAATATTTTCTAATTATAGTTTACAAGTTATAATTAAGAAACAATACTTCAAACATTTTACTAGCTTTTAGGTTTAAACTTTTTCTTAAAATAATTTTGCATTCTATCTATTTATATCAGTTAATTTGTACACAAATTAACTGATATAAAAAGATAGAACATGCACGGTGTGTACATAAATCAACTGAAGGTTTAGATTTGGGTGGGCAATCTTAATGTTAATTCAAAATATTAATTAAAAATTATTCACAATGTAAAATACCATTCAAAAGATAAAACAACAAGTTCAAGTGGTAAAATGACATTCCAAGTAGTAAAATACCAAAGTTTACGGGTAAAATTATAAGATATATTTTACCACAGTAAAATCTAGTGAAAAATGACAATTTTATGATAAAAAATAGATTTTATTACTATTATTATTCTTCATTATTATTATTAACTTTTTCCTGAGATATAAAAATTTAAACCTACCTTATATTGTAAAATAGGTTTCTCTTCAAGAATCTCATTTCCAAATGAATCTGTAACAACATGACCAAGGAAAAAATTTAAGCGACCATAAACTTTCAAAACATAATCATTTACATTCTCTTTCTGTGCTAGCTTTGATGTTTGAATCTTCTTACAAAGAACTTTTTCTATGAGCTCTTTTGGATAAATATTATCAGCAACTTTAAATGTTATAAAACTATTTTTAACAATGGATACAGATAAATGAATACAATTATTTTCAATTCTTAGTTTTTCTTTTAATGATGATGAAAGATTATAGTCTTCTTCAAATTCCGGTGGGTAAGTGTAAATTGCCTTTCGATCCCAACTAGATTGACTGCGTTGATAAGAAATAAAATCACAAAACTGGATACATTTGCTTCGAAATTCATCAACTTCTTCATTCTTGGAAGAAATTGTGTTGTTTCCAATCAATAAATTTATTTTTGAACTAATCAATTTTACTGATTCATCGCCTTGCTTTTGCACAATCTTCAGATAAGGTCTAACAGGTTTAATGTCAAAGAGGGATAACTCTTCATCCATTAACTCCTCGGTACCACCTTTAGCACTTACTGCAACAAAAACATAATTTTCTTTTGAAAGCAAAGCAGTCTTATTAGAAAAGTGAGCAGCATCTTGCCAAAGTTTATTTTTGATTTCTGATAAAGGTATATCAATCTGAACCTTTTGAAGAGTTATACAGATACCACTAGGCAGCATACACAGCACATCTATTTTACTATTGATTGTTAAGCCATTCCAGATGTTATAGCGAGCTAAAGCACCAGTCACCATTTTTCTTAAATCATTTTACTACCTAAATGTAAAACATATAAACTTAACTTATAAAAGTTATATTTTTAAATAAAATTATCATTCTCATTTATTAAAACATATTTATATTAATAATAATAACAATAATAATTATTGTTATTGTTGTTTTTATTGCTATTATTATTATTATTATTATTATTATTATTATTATTATTATTATTATTATTATTATAATTATTGTTATTATTGCTATTATTATTATTATTATTATTATTATTATTATTATTATATTATTATTATTATTATTATTATTATTATTGTTATTGATTTATGATCATTTCAAAACAAAAAAGGGTTTCTTCTGAATCTATATGTAATAATATATAATATATTATATGGTAATATTTATTATAAAATAATTATTTATAACTATTTATAATTATTAAATATTTTAGATAAAAATAATATTATGATAAATAAAATGTAAAGAGTTTAATTAAAACTCGAATTACGTTTTTCAAACTATGGTTTATAGATTATAGTTTATAAACTATGCTCAAACAAGGCTTTTTAAAAGCCTTGTTATTTAAAAATACTTACAACGCAACGGCTATTAAACATACTGCTCTTTTAAAAATCAGTTTATACAGGCTATGTTCCCATATATGTCATAGGCACTTGATTTTCAGAATTCTGAGAAACTAAATAATTCTGAAAAAATGATCGTCATTACACATAGCATCCTTGACCCCCTCCGATTGCAAAGAAATAAACAACTTTATAAATATTTTATAATTTTAATTTGATAAAAGTTGCTAACACGATAAATTTTAAAGAAATAATAATCCAATAATAATAAAAGTTTAAATTACAAGAAAATAATGATAAGCAGTTTTTTTCCAGTGCCAGGTTTCAAAACATTCTTGCCCGACCTTACATTATTGTTGATAAAATTGATTAACAGGCAAAAAAAAATTTAATTTTCCCGGAGGAAGCGGAAAGGGGGGGGGGGGAAGGTTACACCCCTGAATAACTGCTGGGTTAAATCCCTTGCGGGGAAATCATATTTTTTTTTTTTTTTTTGTATGTATTTAGGTGCTCCCAGAAGTCCTTACGGTCTTATCATAGAGCATCGCGGGAGAGCATTTAACAAGAAGTTCACGCCTCCTTCCGTACCAATGTCGCTTGTTGGGCTAGAGCTGGCGTCGAACCTGTGACCTCTGGTTTCTGAGCCACTAACCACTGCGCCACGGCTGCTCAATCTTAAATTATATCTTAAATTCCCTTGTTGGAAAGCCATATGCTTTTATTTGCAATCTATAGCTAAATAATAATGCTTTGTGTTTTAAAGGTGACTTTTTTTTTTATTCTTTTGATTTAAAATACGGAGTATTTATGTGAGCGTGAATTTCCTAAAACACTTTAGTTTGTATTGAATACCGTTTTTGAGGAAACGTTTAAATCATTTGTTTCCAATCAACGAGTTTTTTTGCAACGTTAATCATATCGGTGGCGTCAGTTCTATTTTTATAAATATGTCATTTTATCTTTGTGCCATTCAGAACCAACTACATGGTTTTCAAAGTAGGGAAGGGGGAAAGACAATCAAAAAAAAGTTGAAATATTTGCTTAAAAGAGGCCCTTCTAGCCCCCTTCTTGCTTTACCATTATATAATTCAAATGTTTATTAGATGTTGTTGGTGATACGCATACGCATTTTAAAGAGGAAAATTATTTTCGCTGATGAGTTAGTTGTAGGCACTTAGATTCTGATAAAAAAAAAAAAAAATTCTTTTGCAAATAACTACTGTTTTTTTTTTTTAATAAAACTTAAGGTCTTGCAGTTGAGCAATTAACTCTTTCTTTAAAGTACTTGAAATTAATTTTTTTTCAGATTATTTTTAAGTAAATATAAAACAACATCAATCTTTTCAAAGGCATTTGCCGTTGAGTACATTCATGAAAACTTGTTGCATGTTTTAGTATAGAGCCTAATCTGGTAGGTCAAAATAGCTGTTACCATTTCAGCTGCGCTATCAAGAGCTTTGTAATAAATCTTTCAATACAGATCCTCCATTTTTTTTAGGATGGAATGAGGTATTAGTAGTATAACAACTTTCAATTAGAGCAGGACATCTTTTGTAAATTTGAATATAAAGATCTTTAATTTGTAATCGTAACACCGCAGATTTTACAAGTTTTCAAAATCCCATTAACGACTGACCATTTCTAATTGACTTTAATGTTTTGTGAGCTTTCAACAGCAACGTTTTTGTTAATCTGTAAAGTTTGTGAAAGTTTTTCTATTTGTATTGAAACCATTTTTTTTAAATACAAACAAAATTAAAATTGAATTGCTTCATGTATGCCACATCACTATGGATACGTGCTACCATTTTATTATGACTAGCTGACAACACCCCTAAAAATACCGACTATAATTTGACTATAACCTTCTTTGGAGGGTATGACACCCCAAAGCCCCCTTGAAACCAATTGAGCTACCTATTAAAAACGCCTACAAACCTTTTAATGATATGGATGTTAACGGTATTGATCCGATACCCAACACTAAATTTAAAATCTTTGTTACACATTTTCTTGAAATATTTTTCTTATAAAGTTCGAATAGAATTTTAAATAAGGTCTAATTAAAAAATGATATCATTAACAGAGAGAAAAACTCTTTATATTACTATTATGTCTTAAACTAAATATTTTGGCGCTCAAATGACGATATTAAGTTTAAAACGAACTCAATGTAATAATCTTCTGTAAAAAAGAGAAGATTTTTACAAATACAGGTATCTAGTTTAATTTACAACAAAAGATAAAAAATTCCAAACTTTTGATAGTTAGTTTGTTTCCTAGGATCCAATAACGATACCTTTAAAAGTATCGTTACTGGAGTTAATGAAGTTTGCTACATCTTTGGAAATGACCTCCTTGAACAAGAAAAAAGCCTGGTTTTAAAATCTAAAGCGTAATTTCTATATTATAATCAGCGAAATATATTTTTTAAACTAAAAGATACAGTAAACATAAAACATAGAAAGTATATAAATAAAAAATTAGTTAGATTTGCCAAGAAAAAAGGCCGCAAAATCGCTTGGAAAATTGTTTAAATTTGGTTATAAGTTGCAAAAATGTAACTTCACAGAGCCGGCGCAAAAACTTTTAAGAAAAAAAAAAGAAAATAGTAACCTTTACGCCATTAAGTAGCTACTCCGTAGTAAAATTGATTTTTATGAAAAAATTATGGGATTGGGTTTTATATATATATATATATATATATATATATATATATATATATATATATATATATATATATATATATATATATATATATATATATATATATATATATATATATATATATATATTATAAAATATCATAAAATGTTGGGTTGGTAGGTGAAAAACGTTGGTACTTTTAGGGAGGTAGAGGGTACTCAAAAAAGCGTATATTAAAATGCAGGGGGGGGGATGGCTTAAAGCGTACGTACTTTATGGACTACCCCTAAATTAAGTACCAAAAATGCAAACAAATCTTTTATAAACATAAAAACAAACAAGTAAATAATAAAACAAACTAGGTATAAAATTTCAAAAGTTATATGCATTTACTCACATTAATACAATTTAAACATAAGTTAAGAGAAATTTAGATTTATTATTTAAATAAAATCTTCTCTGTAAATATAAAAGATGTGAACATACAGTTAAAGATGTGTGATTGGAAGAAAATTGAATTAGCATAAAAGAAAAACAACATTCCGATACCACGATTGATATAACCAGTAAATAGAGCCAATATGGCTATAACGAACTAAATAACAATTATGTGGCGACTATTTGAACAATAGTGTTTTTTGTTATTGAACGAAATTTTTGTATAAATAGAGTTTTGGTGTTGTTGTTTTTCAAATACAAAAATAAAAAGAATATAAGTAATATAGTTAATGTAAAAACGGTTAAGATCTTAAAAATATAAGTTATAATACATATTCGGTATTATTTGTGATCGCCATCGGATCATAATTGGTAGCAGAGGGTAGTTTCTTCAACACGGAAGAATGATAAAAAGAAAAAATCAAAAATCAAATAACCAAATGGAAGATCAGTTAACTGTTCAAAATGAAGTATCTGCATTGAACAGGAAGAAAATAGTTTTATAGTCTTTGTTTACGCGAACTAAACATCAAATTATTCAGCAAATTGGAGACGATGAACCCACTTGTAAAAATGAGTTATACGAATTGAGTAATCAATTAACAAAGACTCAAAACGAAGCTATCGAGATAATGGTTGAATTATCAAAGAAATACGAACTTCTGGAATCAAAAGAAAATGTAGGAAAACTCAAAACAGAAATTGAAAAACTAAACGACGAATTTGCGGAAATTATGGAACATGTAAATGAATGGGTATTGCGCAATAGAAGTTTAAAATCAAGTTAAAAACAACAAAGGATGGAAAAAGAACTTAAAATGGAAACAAAAATGCAATGTTATCAATGGTTAAGTACTCAAAAAAGTAATGAACAGTATGAAGATAATAAAAAAGAAAATGGGAATAGCGAAATGGAACCAATCAAATCAACGCATATCATGCGTAAAATGGAAAATGAAATAATTGATTTGGATCAAAAGACTGCAAAAATTGGACATGATTTATGGAAACAACTCAAACGCGTCTCTATACCAATATTTAATGGTGATAAAAAGAACTATGAAAATTGGAAAGCTTCATTCTACGCATGCATTGATCAAGCCCCAACGACATCTGAGAATAAATTACTTCAGTTAGGTCAATATTTATGTAGAGACGCATTAAAAGCAATTGAAGGACTTGGGCATTCGTCATTCACTTATGAAGCTGCAAAAGAAAGACTTGAAAGAAAATATGGCGGAACAAGGAGAAAAACCCTTATGTATTTAGATGAATTGAACAACTTTAAACCTATGAGGGAAAATAACCCAAAAGACGTTGAAAAGTTTGCGAATTTGTTGGATGTGGCAGTAACAAACTTAAAAGAAGCAAATTGAACAGAAGAACTTGGCGATGGGACATTGTACCATCAATTGCAAAAAAAAGTTCCTGAGATAATGTTAATTAGATATAAACGATGGGTGTATGAAAACAAATTAAACGAAAATGTTAAAACTCTAAAAAAGTTTATTGTTGAAGAAGCAGATGTTCAAATTGCAGTAACGGAAACTCTACATGGTTTAAAAAAAACTATTGGTAACAAAGCACACGAAGGAAATTCTTACTTTGGTAACAGTGATCAAAAAAAGAAAATAAATTGGATACAGAAATGTTCTGTTTGCAAAAATGATCATAAAATATGGGAGTGTCCAACGTTTAAAAATCAAAATATTAAAGAAAGATGGGAGACAGCTAAGAAAAATAAACTCTGCTTTAAATGCTTGAATTCTAACCATTCGTCAAAAGAATGCAGGAACACAAGAATTCGTGGGATTGATGGCTGTACAGATACCCATAATCGTTTGCTTCACAAGAAAAGTCATAAAAAAGAAAGACTACAAAGAAAAAGACACGATATTAGAAAATCCTCATACATCGAACATCCAATTTCATTCAAATCACGTCATGAACTACATATCTTTTAGAACGGTGGCAGTTATTCTTCGTAATGGATATAAAAAAGTTGTGGTAAACGCATTGCTTGACGATGGAAGTACCAAGACATATTTGAACTCTGATGTAGCGGCTGAGTTGTCACTG